TACTGAAGCTTCATTTGAAAATGTATTTTGATTGTCCATTTATCATGTATCATCTCTAAGATGACAATGTTATTGAGACTTGATTGTTTTTGCTGTTGCATATAGCATACTTGTTGCTGCTAAAGCTAAATTATATTTTATTTATTTGTCTAATTGAATGTTTTGGTTGGCCTTATACAGGTCAGGTTTTTTTCCACCCACCCTGAACACTTCCCTTGTCCAACCACTTGATGGCGAGCTACCTACCCCTCCTCCTACCTGCACTGTGGTAGGAACAAACGAACCTTATTTTTTTCCCTCCTTTGGATTACATGGATTTAAACTGCGATAAACTGAACTCTTGAGATAAACTGAACTCTAAGGAGACTGAACTCGAACTCAGGACTATTTTTGTTTTCCTTGTATATTTGTTTTTTACATACATGTTTTTTGTGTCTATATTATTGATATTTGATATAACTTGTTATTAATATATACCTCTTAAAAGAAAAGAATACCTACCTTAAAAATACACAAGTACTTGAATATCTATATTTTTGTTGTCTTGTTTTAGTCACACCCTTGGCTCCGTGGCCGGACCTATTTCTGGTAGAGCCTAAGTATATTGGCCGCAGTCGGCGCCTAGCCTTTAATAGCGTTACATTTGGCGAGCTAGCCAGGAGCACTCTTAATCCCAAAGAGCCGTTTGGGGGTCGTTGGTCAGAAGAGTGCCAAAACGCTTTTGAAACAATCATTGCCAAACTCAGCACCTCTCCTGTCTTAGCTTTTGCTGATCCACAAAAGCCATACACACTCCACACCGACGCATGTGCCATCGGCCTTGGTGCCATTCTCTACCAAGAACATGATGGAGTAAACAGAGTTGTGGCGTATGCCAGCCGTGGTCTGTCCCGGAGTGAAGCGAACTACCCTGCCCATAAACTTGAGTTTTTGGCCCTCAAGTGGGCAGTTTGTGAAAAATTCCACGACTACTTGTATGGATCACAATTCACTGTAGTCACGGACAGTAATCCGCTAACTTACCTCTTGTCATCTGCAAAGCTCGATGCCACCAGCTACCGATGGTTGTCCGCCCTGTCAACATTTCACTTCAAAATAATCTACAGGGCTGGCCAGCAGAATGCGGACGCTGATGGGTTGTCCCGCAGACCCCAGGGCGAGCTGTCTGACGATCACCAATCACGAAAAGAACAAGAACGCATCATGAGATTCGCCCAGCAACACTTTGACAACACTGCTTACATTCCACTCGACCAGCCTACCGTTGAAGCAGTCTCTGACCGTCACCTGGTGTACAGTCCAGATGCCAGACACGATCATGCCCTTCTATTGTCTCTGACCGCCCATGTGGACAGTGTCCCAGATAGTTTTGTGGATGACGCACAGTTCACCTCTTCATTACTCCCCTCCCTGTCAGCCACTGAAGTTGCTTCCAAGCAGCGAGCTGACCCAGTACTCCAGCATGTCATTGCCCAGCTTGAGCGTGGGGAGACGCCACCACCTTTGCTGAGAGAACAACTTCCAAACCTGCCCCTGTTTCTGAGAGAAGTCAATAAATTGGAGCTCCGCAACAACCTTCTTGTCAGGAGGAGACAGGTGGGAAGTGAACTCATGTACCAGCTTGTCCTGCCAGAGGAGTATAGAGATGACGTCTTTCATGAGCTTCACAATAAAATGGGCCATCTAGGCATTGAGAGAACACTGGACTTGATCCGTTCCCGCTTTTACTGGCCAAAAATGTCCATTGATGTTGCCAATAAAGTCAAGGCTTGTGAGCGATGTGTGCGTAGAAAATCTTTGCCTGAACATGCCGCACCCCTTGTTAGCATCCAGACGTCTTTCCCTCTTGAGCTTATCTGTATGGATTTTCTGTCAGTGGAACCAGACGGACGGATAAAAGACATTTTGGTTATGACGGATCACTTTACAAAGTATGCTATAGCTGTGCCAACTCCGAACCAAAAAGCCACCACTGTTGCTAAATGTCTTTGGGAGAACTTCCTTGTACACTACGGTATCCCAGACAGGCTACATAGTGACCAAGGCACTGATTTTGAATCGAAAGTCATCCAAGAACTTTGTCGAATGGCTGGAATTCATAAGACTCGAACCACTCCCTATCACCCCAGAGGAAACCCGGTGGAGCGTTTCAATAGAACATTGCTGGACATGCTAGGAACCTTAACAGAACAAGAGAAACATCACTGGAAAGACTTTGTAAAACCACTCGTTCACGCTTATAATTGCACAAAGAATGACGTTACAGGATTTTCTCCGTATGAGCTAATGTTTGGCCGCCAACCCAGACTTCCCGTCGACCTCGCTTTTGGACTCCCACTGAATGACGACAACCCTGACACTCATTCAAAGTATGTCCAAAAACTAAAGTCTCAACTTGAAGAGAGTTATCAACTGGCCATTGAAAATTCTCGGAAAGTTATGGAACGGAACAAGCTCCGCTTTGATCGACATGTGACCCCATCTGTGCTGAGTATTGGTGACCGAGTCCTGGTGAGGAATGTGCGTCTCAGGGGTAAGCACAAGTTAGCTGATAAATGGGAACCCCATGTTTATATAGTAGTGAAGAAAGCCGGTAGTCTTCCCGTTTACACAGTCAAACCAGAAGGGAAAGATAAGCCTTTGCGAACTCTGCATAGAGACCTTCTCCTTCCCTGTGGGTACCTACCTGTTCAGGAGAAAGACCTACCCGTGAAAAAAAGAGAAAAGCTACTTACCTTGCCGCCTTCCGATTCCGATCCAGTTTCTGATGATGAGGATGTTTTGATTGACTGTGTCCCATCTCCGATCGAACCTTTCAGATTTTCACAAATACTTGACCTTCCAACTGTACCACAGTCTGTTAACATTCTTCCTTTGCCAATCACCCCAACACATGGTGATGAAGGTGTTTTTACAGTTGACACTCCAGTTGTTGCCAAAGAAACTCCAGCTATGGATGCAGTGGACCAAGATGTCTCATCTGACCCAATACCTGCTGAACCTGTCGATTCTGTTGAAGACTCCAGTTTGGAAAGGAGTACCCCTCCTCTTTCAGACCCAGTCAGCAGTGCCTCTGGACCCAGTTCACCTGTGAGTTCGGACTTGGCAAGTCCTGAACCGGTGCGTCGTTCAGCCCCGCTCACGGCATCCACCTGACCGCCTACAATATTCACGACCGGGTCAGCCATTTCTAAAGAGCATCCAAAGTCTGTTGCACAGTCTGAGTTCTGCTTTTACCTTCGCTCTTCAGGAGGATGAGGATATGGATCTTTCCCCCAGTCAGCCAGTTGTCCACTGCCAGCCTGGTCCATGGCCGAGGACGTACATGGGATCACGGGGGGAAGATGTAACCCACATGAGTTAGCGGCTCAGTCCCTGCCCCGTCCCTGTCATTTTATTTTGGCGGGCCCATTTCCCTTAAACCTGTCCCTTTAAACCTGGAACATCCGCCTACTCAGTCCCGCTGCTATTCAAGCTGCTCCTGCTGTGGCGTTGTCATTTTGAGTCATTGAGACAAAATACAGCCTCCATTCTGCATTCGAATCAAGCCGAACGCTGATACAGGCGTATTTCTTGTGATTCAGTTACCGGTGAGTCAATCTGCTCTTTGGTTTTGTGTGTTGAAGTAATCATCCGTATCATAGCATTGACATGCATTCCGTCGCATCCCTGCAGATTGCTTTGGTTCTGTCATCTTCCCAGAACACTCATAAGCCTTTCGTAACCACCTCTCACCGGTGAGTGCCTTTTATTAGTTGTCTCTGCGTTTTATGTTGTGTTATGTACCGCAATTGTCCATGTAGCACCGATGCTAATATTAGCATACACACAGACATGCGTGCAACCACGGTCAGCGCACTTATTCGCGTCTCTAAGTTCTTGGTTGAGCCAAGTTTAATTCTACTTAAACCGAACTGTACGGTACACTTTGCACATAATGTCAAAGTCTTTTGTTTTGTTGTAGATGGCCATTAATGCCCTTTCCTCCAACTTTTTTGAATAAATTGCCTAAGCGGCTATATGATTTTTGAATTGGAATTCTTATTTGACAATTACCTTTTTTATTGCGCAATACGATTTGACTCCTTTGAAAATGCATTTGTGTATTTTTTTAAATTAGAAATTAACTTAGCTGTCTTGCTGATGGTTTTGATTTAAGTGCACTTTTTTTTTACTGAAGCTTCATTTGAAAATGTATTTTGATTGTCCATTTATCATGTATCATCTCTAAGATGACAATGTTATTGAGACTTGATTGTTTTTGCTGTTGCATATAGCATACTTGTTGCTGCTAAAGCTAAATTATATTTTATTTATTTGTCTAATTGAATGTTTTGGTTGGCCTTATACAGGTCAGGTTTTTTTCCACCCACCCTGAACACTTCCCTTGTCCAACCACTTGATGGCGAGCTACCTACCCCTCCTCCTACCTGCACTGTGGTAGGAACAAACGAACCTTATTTTTTTCCCTCCTTTGGATTACATGGATTTAAACTGCGATAAACTGAACTCTTGAGATAAACTGAACTCTAAGGAGACTGAACTCTAACTCAGGACTATTTTTGTTTTCTTTGTATATTTGTTTTTTACATACATGTTTTTTGTGTCTATATTATTGATATTTGATATAACTTGTTATTAATATATACCTCTTAAAAGAAAAGAATACCTACCTTAAAAATACACAAGTACTTGAATATCTATATTTTTGTTGTCTTGTTTTAGTCACACCCTTGGCTCCGTGGCCGGACCTATTTCTGGTAGAGCCTAAGTATATTGGCCGCAGTCGGCGCCTAGCCTTTAATAGCGTTACATGGACGTCACGCTCTGCTCTGACCATGTGGACGTCACTCTCTGCTATGACCATGTGGACGTCACTCGCTGCTCTGACCATGTGGACGTCACGCTCTGCTCTGACCATGTGGACGTCACTCGCTGCTCTGACCATGTGGACGTCACTCGCTGCTCTGACCATGTGGACGTCACGCTCTGCTCTGACCATGTGGAACGTCTCTCGCTGGTCTGACCATGTGGACGTCTCTCGCTGCTCTGACCATGTGGACGTCACTCGCTGCTCTGACCATGTGGACGTCACGCTCTGCTCTGACCATGTGGACGTCTCTCGCTGCTCTGACCATGTGAACGTCACGCTCTGCTCTGACCATGTGGACGTCACGCTCTGCTCTGACCATGTGGACGTCACGCTCTGCTCTGACCATGTGGACGTCACGCTCTGCTCTGACCATGTGGACGTCACGCTCTGCTCTGACCATGTGGACGTCACGCTCTGCTCTGACCATGTGGACGTCTCTCGCTGGTCTGACCATGTGGACGTCTCTCGCTGGTCTGACCATGTGGACGTCTCTCGCTGCTCTGACCATGTGGACGTCATTCGCTGCTCTGACCATGTGGACGTCACGCTCTGGTCTGACCATGTGGACGTCACTCGCTGCTCTGACCATGTGGACGTCACTCGCTGCTCTGACCATGTGGACGTCACTCGCTGCTCTGACCATGTGGACGTCACGCTCTGCTCTGACCATGTGGACGTCACGCTCTGCTCTGACCATGTGGACGTCACTCTCTGCTCTGACCATGTGGACGTCACTCGCTGCTCTGACCATGTGGACGTCACGCTCTGCTCTGACCATGTGGACGTCACTCTCTGCTCTGACCATGTGGACGTCACTCTCTGCTCTGACCATGTGGACGTCACGCTCTGCTCTGACCATGTGGACGTCACTCGCTGCTCTGACCATGTGGACGTCACTCGCTGCTCTGACCATGTGGACGTCACGCTCTGCTCTGACCATGTGGAACGTCTCTCGCTGGTCTGACCATGTGGACGTCTCTCGCTGCTCTGACCATGTGGACGTCACTCAGTCACTCGCTGGTCTGACCATGTGGATGAGCCGTCTTTTGCTTAAAAATGCTTTAACCCGCAGCACAGCAGAATGGGAAGATTAAACAGCAGTTCTCTGTGCGCAAAGGTGCCGAAGCTGTTGCTGGTGCTGAAGCTGTTGCTGGTATCGCTGTCTCGCCTCTGATCCAGTAGAACTCAGAGCTGCACTTATGAGAAGTACGCGGCTCGACATGACTGTTATTTCAAAGAACGTGGACTATTTTAAACTACGCGGTTAAACCGGTTTCAACCGGTTAATGAGGATGAAGTTTTTTATATCCCTACCAGAGAGAGGCTAGAGAGAGAGAGACCAGAGAGGGACCAGAGAGAGGGAGACCAGAGAGGGACCAGAGAGGGACCAGAGAGAGGCTAGAGAGAGAGAGACCAGAGAGGGGCTAGAGAGAGAGAGACCAGAGAGGGACCAGAGAGAGGCTAGAGAGAGAGAGACCAGAGAGGGACGAGAGAGAGGCTAGAGAGAGAGAGACCAGAGAGGGACCAGAGAGAGGCTAGAGAGAGAGAGACCAGAGAGGGACGAGAGAGAGACCAGAGAGAGAGAGACCAGAGAGAGACCAGAGAGAGAGACCAGAGAGAGACCAGAGAGAGGCTAGAGAGAGAGAGACCAGAGAGGGACCAGAGAGAGGCTAGAGAGAGAGACCAGAGAGGGACCAGAGAGAGACCAGAGAGAGGCTAGAGAGAGGCTAGAGAGAGGCTAGAGAGAGAGAGACCAGAGAGGGACCAGAGAGAGGCTAGAGAGAGAGACCAGAGAGGGACCAGAGAGAGACCAGAGAGAGACCAGAGAGAGACCAGAGAGAGACCAGAGAGAGAGACCAGAGAGAGACCAGAGAGAGGCTAGAGAGAGAGACCAGAGAGAGAGAAACCTCACCGTAGTTGAGGTTGCAGAGGTTGCCTGCGTTGAGGAAGAAGTGAGTCCTGAACAAGTCTCCGAAGCCGCCTCGTCCTGGTCTGAAGGGGAGGGGGGTGTACAGGTGCAGCCCCCCCGCCCAGTATGCCTCGCCCCCCAGGAAGTCTCCTGAAACAGACCAGAAGGAGACGCTACAGCAGCAGCCAATCAGAGCGCAGAGAGAACTGGTACCTTCGCTCTGTGGTCCCACGCTGTACATGCCGAAGCCGCGAACACTGGTAGGACCTCCCAGGTAGAATCTGGCACACAGGTACAAGAGGTGAGAGACCAGAGAGAGACCAGAGAGGGACCAGAGAGAGACCAGAGAGAGACCAGAGAGAGAGACCAGAGAGGGACCAGAGAGAGAGACCAGAGAGGGACCAGAGAGGGACCAGAGAGAGACCAGACCAGAGAGAGAGACCAGAGAGAGACCAGAGAGAGTGAACAGAGAGAGACCAGAGAGAGACCAGAGAGAGACCAGAGAGAGACCAGAGAGAGACCAGAGAGAGGGACCAGAGAGAGAGACCAGAGAGAGAGACCAGAGAGGGACCAGAGAGGGACCAGAGAGAGACCAGAGAGAGACCAGAGAGAGAGAGACCAGAGAGAGAGACCAGAGAGAGAGGCCAGAGAGAGACATGTTTTATGCCAGAGAATCGTCCTCTCTAGACCCAGAAATATATGCATGTTAAAATCAGACGGAGACCCAAGACTAGGACCAGGGCAAAAACAAGACCCAGACCCAGCTTATGAAAACTAGTGTTTTACAGTGAAATGTTTTGTGGTTTGAAAGTCACGAACCTCAGCTTTAAGTCAAGGACAGGTCAGTGTTGAGGACGCACCTGTCTGCGATACAAGATGGCTGCCCTCCGAGCGGGTACAGCATGCCGCCCCAGAACGACAACGACAACACCTGAGACAGAATAGTTTAATACAGGCTCTCTCTCTCCCTCTGGTCTCTCTCACTCTCTGGTCTCTCTCTCTCTCTGGTCTCTCTCTCCCTCTGGTCTCTCTCACTCTGGTCTCTCTCTCACTCTGGTCTCTCTCACTCTCTGGTCTCTCTCTCTCTCTGGTCTCTCTCTCTCTCTGGTCTCTCTCTCCCTCTGGTCTCTCTCACTCTGGTCTCTCTCTCACTCTGGTCTCTCTCTCACTCTGGTCTCTCTCTCTCTCTGGTCTCTCTCTCTCTGGTCTCTCTCTCTCTGGTCTCTCTCTCTCTGGTCTCTCTCTCTCTGGTCTCTCTCTCTCTGGTCTCTCTCTCTCTGGTCTCTCTCTCTCTGGTCTCTCTCTCTCTGGTCTCTCTCTCTCTGGTCTCTCTCTGGTCTCTCTCTCTCTGGTCTCTCTCTGGTCTCTCTCTCTCTGGTCTCTCTCTCTGGTCTCTCTCTCTGGTCTCTCTCTCTCTGGTCTCTCTCTGGTCTCTCTCTCTCTGGTCTCTCTCACCGAGTCCCAGAAAAGTCTTTTGTTCAGTTGTATTTCAAAATCTTCTTTGAGGAAGTTGGCGTCTCCTCCTGTGTATCCAGCCAGCTCCTGTTACAGAGAAACATGTGTTATTCAAGAGACCAGAGAGAGAGACCAGAGAGAGACCAGAGAGAGAGACCAGAGAGAGACCAGAGAGAGAGACCAGAGAGAGACCAGAGAGAGACCAGAGAGAGACCAGAGAGAGACTAGAGAGAGACCAGAGAGAGAGACCAGAGAGAGATCAGAGAGAGACCAGAGAGAGAGACCAGAGAGAGAGACCAGAGAGATCAGAGAGAGACCAGAGGGGGACCAGAGGGGGACCAGAGAGGGACCAGAGAGAGACCAGAGAGAGACCAGAGGGGGACCAAAGAGAGACCAGAGGGAGACCAGAAAGAGACCAGAGAGAGACCAGAGAGAGACCAGAGAGAGACCAGAGAGGGACCAGAGAGAGACCAGAGAGAGACCAGAGAGAGACCAGAGAGAGACCAGAGAGAGACCAGAGAGAGAGACACCAGAGAGAGACCAGAGAGAGACCAGAGAGAGACCAGAGAGGGAGAGACCAGAGAGAGACCAGAGAGAGACCAGAGAGAGAGAGACACTAAAGTATGATGACAAACTGTCATGTTAAACCAGCAGTTATGCTCTGACTCACCTGGTTTACCATGAACAGGAGCTAAGGCTCTGACTCACCTGGTTTAGCCGCAGTAAGGCACCTCTGCTCGGGAAGATGGCCGAGTTCCGAGAGTCTATGGACATGGTGTGCTGCAAGAGAGAGAGGAACCATGAAGACCAGGAGAGACCAGGTGAGATATGAATACCATGACGACCAGGAGAAAGGAGATAGACAGGTGTTCTCACCGACAGATACAGATAGACAGGTGTTCTCACCGACAGATACACAGGTGTTCTCACCGACAGAGACAGGTGTTCTCACCGACAGATACAGATACACAGGTATTCTCACCGACAGAGACAGGTGTTCTCACCGACAGAGACAGGTGTTCTCACCGACAGAGACAGGTGTTCTCACCGACAGATACACAGGTGTTCTCACCGACAGATAGACAGGTGTTCTCACCGACAGATAGACAGGTGTTCTCACCGACAGATAGACAGGTGTTCTCACCGACAGATAGACAGGTGTTCTCACCGACAGATAGACAGGTGTTCTCACCGACAGATAGACAGGTGTTCTCACCGACAGATAGACAGGTGTTCTCACCGACAGATAGACAGGTGTTCTCACCGACAGATAGACAGGTGTTCTCACCGACAGATAGACAGGTGTTCTCACCGACAGATAGACAGGTGTTCTCACCGACAGATAGACAGGTGTTCTCACCGACAGTTACAGATAGACAGGTGTTCTCACCGACAGTTACAGATAGACAGGTGTTCTCACCGACAGTTACAGATAGACAGGTGTTCTCACCGACAGAGAGAGACAGGTGTTCTCACCGACAGATACAGATAGAGATAGACAGGTGTTCTCACCGACAGATAGAGATAGACAGGTGTTCTCACCGACAGATACAGATAGAGATAGACAGGTGTTCTCACCGACAGATACAGATAGAGATAGACAGGTGTTCTCACCGACAGATACAGATAGAGATAGACAGGTGTTCTCACCGACAGATACAGACAGGTGTTCTCACCGACAGATACAGACAGGTGTTCTCACCGACAGATACAGATACAGAGAGACAGGTGTTCTCACCGACAGATACAGATAGAGATAGACAGGTGTTCTCACCGACAGATAGAGATAGACAGGTGTTCTCACCGACAGATACAGATAGAGATAGACAGGTGTTCTCACCGACAGATACAGATAGAGATAGACAGGTGTTCTCACCGACAGATACAGATAGAGATAGACAGGTGTTCTCACCGACAGTGCAGACTTCAGTGAGTGGCCGCTCTCCTCTCGGACGGCGAACGATGCGCTCCGAGCCAAACAGCCCAGTTCTCTCCACACACCCTCCCACTTCAGAGAGTGACTGCTGCCCCCTACAGGGAACTAAAGGACACTGCAGGTTAGGACCAGACGGACCAGGAACCAGAAAGAGACCAGAGACAGACCAGAGAGAGACCAGAGAGAGAGACCAGAAAGAGGGACCAGGGAGAGACCAGAGAGAGAGACCAGAGAGAGAGACCAGGGAGAGACCAGAGAGGGACCAGAGAGAGAGACCAGGGAGAGACCGACCAGCGAGAGACCAGAGAGAGAGACCAGAAAGAGGGACCAGGGAGAGACCAGAGAGAGACCAGAGAGAGACCAGAGAGAGAGACCAGGGAGAGACCAAAGAGAGAGCAGCTCTAAAGCCACACTTACATTGAGCTCTGCAGAGAGGCCTCGGTCAGTCTCCTTTAACGAGCTCCAGGGAAACTGTCCGGTCACTTTGTAGGCGTTCAGGGTCAGGCTGGGGACGAGGAGAACATGCAAACATTAAAGAAGACCGTCTATTATCAACGTTTACAATTAGAAAGTCTTGTAGAATATATGGAAATCGCACTGTTGTTGAAGAGGGAGCAGCGTCTGCAGTCAGAGCTCTCCTTTCCCTCTCTTGTCTCTCTCTGCTCTCTCGCCCTGGTCCCTCTCCCTGGTCCCTCTCCCTGGTCCCTCTCCCTGGTCCCTCTCCCTGTCCCTCTCCCTGGTCCCTCTCCCTGGTCCCTCTCCCTGGTCCCTCTCATGGGGATCCCTCAAGGATAGTGTGAGGAGCTCGATCACACAGGAAGAGCTCAGAGAAGAGCTGCTGCTCTGACTTGGACTCTGAGTCAGAGTCCAAGTCAGAGTCAGAGTCCAAGTCAGAGTCCAAGTCAGAGTCCAAGTCAGAGTCCAAGTCAGAGTCCAAGTCAGAGTCCAAGTCAGAGTCCAAGTCAGAGTCCAAGTCAGTCCAAGTCAGAGTCCAAGTCAGAGTCCAAGTCAGAGTCCAAGTCAGAGTCAGAGTCCAAGTCAGTCAGAGTCCAAGTCAGAGTCCAAGTCAGAGTCCAAGTCAGAGTCCAAGTCAGAGTCCAAGTCAGAGTCCAAGTCAGAGTCCAAGTCAGAGTCCAAGTCAGAGTCCAAGTCAGAGTCCAAGTCAGAGTCCAAGTCAGAGTCCAAGTCAGAGTCCAAGTCAGAGTCCAAGTCAGAGTCCAAGTCAGAGTCCAAGTCAGAGTCCAAGTCAGAGTCCAAGTCAGAGTCAGAGTCCAAGTCAGAGTCCAAGTCCAAGTCAGAGTCCAAGTCAGAGTCAGAGTCCAAGTCAGAGTCCAAGTCAGAGTCAGAGTCCAAGTCCAAGTCAGAGTCCAAGTCAGAGTCCAAGTCAGAGTCCAAGTCAGAGTCCAAGTCAGAGTCCAAGTCAGAGTCCAAGTCAGAGTCCAAGTCAGAGTCCAAGTCAGAGTCCAAGTCAGAGTCCAAGTCAGAGTCCAAGTCAGAGTCCAAGTCAGAGTGAGTCCGGGTCCGGGTGCGAGTCTGGGTGAGAGTCCGGGTCCAAGTCTGGGTGTTGGTCCGGGTCCGGGTGTGAGTCCGGGTCCGGGTGAGAGTCCGAGGTCCGGGTGAGAGTCCGGGTCCGGGTGAGAGTCCGGGTCCGGGTGAGAGTCCGAGTCCGGGTGCGAGTCTGGATCTGGGTGTGAGTCCGTACTTGCGCTCAAAGAACCCGGGCTGAGGTTTGAAGAAGGACAGACCGTAGGACGTCTCCTTCGTGCCGTAGGAAAACTGGAAAGTGAGTTTCTCTGCTCGACCAAACATGTTCGGGAGCTTCAGACCCAGGACCTGAGAGAGACCAGAGAGAGAGACCAGAGAGAGACCAGAGAGAGAGACCAGAGAGAGACCAGAGAGAGACCAGAGAGAGAGACCAGAGAGAGAGACCAGAGAGAGAGACCAGAGAGAGAGACCAGAGAGAGAGACCAGAGAGAGAGACCAGAGAGAGACCAGAGAGAGACCAGAGAGAGAGACCAGAGAGAGAGACCAGAGAGACCAGAGACCAGAGAGACCAGAGAGAGGAGAGACCAGAGAGGGACCAGAGAGAGAGACCAGAGAGAGACCAGAGAGAGACCAGAGAGAGAGACCAGAGAGAGACCAGAGAGAGACCAGAGAGAGAGACCAGAGAGAGAGACCAGAGAGAGAGACCAGAGAGAGAGACCAGAGAGAGAGACCAGAGAGAGAGACCAGAGAGAGACCAGAGAGAGACCAGAGAGAGAGACCAGAGAGAGAGACCAGAGAGACCAGAGAGAGAGACCAGAGAGAGAGACCAGAGAGGGACCAGAGAGAGAGACCAGAGAGGGACCAGAGCAACAGGAAGTCAATAGGAGCCAAACTTCACTATGAGCACTTCCCTAAAGTAGAGTAGATTCTCACCATGCTGCCCTCGTTGTTGCCGACCATGGTGTTGTAGCTGCCGGTGACGCGCTTCACCTCCGTCACCTCGAACGTCACGTCCAGACCATTGGGCAACGCATCTGAACCTGCAACCAATCAGACACTGAACCTGCAACCAATCAGACACTGAACCTGCAACCAATCAGACACTGAACCTGCAACCAATCACAGTCACTGAGACAGCACCTCCTACAGGCCACTGCTGAGACAGCACCTCCTACAGGCCACTGCTGAGACAGCACCTCCTACAGGCCACTGCTGAGACAGCACCTCCTACAGGCCACTGCTGAGACAGCACCTCCTACAGGCCACTGCTGAGACAGCACCTCCTACAGGCCACTGCTGAGACAGCACCTCCTACAGGCCACTGCTGAGACAGCACCTCCTACAGGCCACTGCTGAGACAGCACCTCCTACAGGCCACTGCTGAGACAGCACCTCCTACAGGCCACTGCTGAGACAGCACCTCCTACAGGCCACTGCTGAGACAGCACCTCCTACAGGCCACTGCTGAGACAGCACCTCCTACAGGCTGTGTAGATGTGATGAGAAGCTGTTACCAATACAACTTCGTTATGATGTACTTATACTTGGAAATAATCTAATTATATAACAATTCAATCACAGCTATGAAATATTCCCATAAATCTCTGAGGCAGACGCACTGAGCCAGGGCTGAAGCCGCATCTGCCCCGAGGCGGAAAGCCCAGGGGGAGTCTTACCTTCTGACGTGTCGATGAGGACGTCCACATCTTTGAACACTCCCAGTCTGAGGAGCTTCTGTCGAGCAACGTGCGCTCTCTTCATCACCTGCAGAGAAGACAGCCTCTGCCTCAGTCCTGGGTCTACAGCCCCTCAGTCCTGGGTCTACAGCCTCAGTCCTGGGTCTACAGCCTCAGTCCTGGGTCTACAGCCTCAGTCCTGGGTCTACAGCCTCAGTCCTGGGTCTACAGCCCCTCAGTCCTGGGTCTACAGCCTCAGTCCTGGTCTACAGCCTCAGTCCTGGGTCTACAGCCTCAGTCCTGGGTCTACAGCCTCAGTCCTGGGTCTACAGCCTCAGTCCTGGGTCTACAGCCTCAGTCCTGGGTCTACAGCCTCAGTCCTGGGTCTACAGCCTCAGTCCTGGGTCTACAGCCCCTCAGTCCTGGGTCTACAGCCTCAGTCCTGGTCTACAGCCTCAGTCCTGGGTCTACAGCCTCAGTCCTGGGTCTACAGCCTCAGTCCTGGGTCTACAGCCTCAGTCCTGGGTCTACAGCCTCAGTCCTGGGTCTACTAGGGATGTAAAAAACTATGGCTGTATCCGAATGTCCACACTATACCCTATATAGTGCACTATATAGTGGTCACGCCATTTTGTAGGGGTGTCCGAATGTCCAGAGAGAAAAAGTAGTGCACTGGAATTTTCCCACAATGCATCTCGAAAATGTAGTGAACAGCAGTGGTCACTATACGGAAGTAAAATGGCGGAGGCAGCGAGAGACGAGCTGGAAGCGGAGCGGGACATGAGCAAATGTGAGTTTTTGATCATCATAAATATGGAAATGTGTAAACCGTGATAGATTGTTGACGATAAGCTGCCAAAATACACATTTGAAGTCAGAATACCATTGCCTTTTACTGCGAAACAACGTACCAATGTTATGCCGCGAAAGTGTTAGCATTTTGGCATATCATAACATTAACATGTAAAGCGAACGCTACAGAAACGGGTCACTGGTGGTCAGTCATTAATGTTATTAAAGCACTTGTGTTATATGTATAGCATTTATTGTGTGTTTAATGTTTATTAAAGGGACAGACACTGATGTGGAGAGACTCATCTGACTGCGGGTGAAAAATTTGCATCGGCGGCTGGATGGGAGTATGACCATTATGAATAAATACTTATTCAAAAAACGTCTACTCATATTCAAATGTTTTTATGTATCGTTACTTTAGGGCAGTGATAAAGGAAATGGGGCTGAGCCGCCTGATCAGCCCTGCCAGAGCGGCCAAGAAGTGGGAGAACCTGAAAAAGACCTACAAGGTTTGTTTCTTTGAAGCTAATTTGTGAAGCATTTATTATACAAAACTCACTGTTTTAAGGAGCTCAGACAGCCACGGACAGGGACAGGGACAGAAGGAGGGGAGCCCATCGCCATATCTTGGAAGTGGTACTCCCTCATGGATGAGGCAATAGGCAGCAGGCCATCCGTGCAGCCTCCCTGCCTGATTGCCTCATCCATGGGGGAGGGTGTTTCCACAAGGAGAGGGGAAGAAGAGAGGAAGAGAGGGGGGAGAGACTGTTGAGTTTGTTGGAGAGAATTGTTGAGAAGTTGTAAATAGTAGATAAAAATGTATTTTGATAAGTGTAGTTTGAACTATATGCATATCGACATACAATGATTAACACTATTTACAAAAAAAAATTTAATCAACTAGACATTTGTAAAGAACTATACATACATTCAACAATTTCTTTTTAGATATTTACATATTCAATTGTTTTTGTTTTTATTTAAATAGGCCAAAACACAGATTATTCAAACATTTAATTAATGTTGGGGTGGAAAGTGCTGCTGCCATCCGTCCACACAGCTCCTGTCCACACAGCTCCTGTCCACACAGCTCCTGTCCACACAGCTCCTGTCCACACAGCTCCTGTCCACACAGCTCCTGTCCACACTGCTCCTGTCCACACAGCTCCTGTCCACACAGCTCCTGTCCACACAGCTCCTGTCCACACAGCTCCTGTCCACACAGCTCCTGTCCACACAGCTCCTGTCCACACAGCTCCTGTCCACACAGCTGTCCACACAGCTCCTGTCCACACAGCTCGCACACTGCTCCGTCACACACTGCTCCTGTCCACACTGCTCCCTGTCCCCCACATGCTCCTGTCCACGCTCCACACTGCTCCTGTCCACACAGCTGTCCCCACACAGCTCCTGTCCACACTGCTCCTGTCCACACAGCTCCTGTCCACACAGCTCCTGTCCACACTGCTCCTGTCCACACTGCTCCTGTCCACACTGCTCCTGTCCACACTGCTCCTGTCCACACAGCTCCTGTCCACACAGCTCCTGTCCACGCAGCTCCTGTCCACGCAGCTCCTGTCCACGCAGCTCCTGTCCACGCAGCTCCTGTCCACACTGCTCCTGTCCACACAGCTCCTGTCCACACAGCTCCTGTCCACACTGCTCCTGTCCACACAGCTCCTGTCCACACTGCTCCTGTCCACACAGCTCCTGTCCACACAGCTCCTGTCCACACAGCTCCTGTCCACACTGCATCCTGTCCACACTGCTCCTGTCCACACAGCTCCTGTCCACGCAGCTCCTGTCCACACTGCTCCTGTCCACACAGCTCCTGTCCACACAGCTCCTGTCCACACAGCTCCTGTCCACACAGCTCCTGTCCACACAGCTCCTGTCCACACAGCTCCTGTCCACACTGCTGATCAGGCTGGTGCTGCTGATGCTGGTCCTCATCAGGCCCTGGCTCCTCTTCCACTGGCTCCCAGAGATCACCATCGCTGACGCAGATGTTGTGCAGGATGGTGCAACAGGCAGTCACCTGGACTGCAAAGGTGGGTTGGACTTCCAGTGCCTTGGAAAAAAATGGATCGCCATCTTGCCTTCATCATACCAAACGCTCTTTCTGTTACAGATCGTGCCCGTGCATGGTGCCGGTTGAAGCGGGCTTCCACTGGGCTCCGAACAGGCTCTCTGTATGGAGGGAGGAGTGTGATGGGCTGACGGAGGCAAGGGTAACCCCCATCCCCAAGGAGGACGTGTCCATTTGGGGGATAGAGCCGGTGGACGTAGAGGGGGCTGTTTTTAAGCACTCGAGAATCGTGCACAGATCCGGGGTAGCCAACAAACAAATCAATAAATAAGCCACGGTGATTACACACAGCCTGCATTTGAATAGAATAAAACAATTTCCTGTTAAAATAACACTGTGCATTTTCTTGAAGGGGCTTTATTCTAATGTGGCAGCCGTCGATGCTCCCCACAACATTATTGAGAGCAGCTGATCCAGCCAGCAACTGAAACCCAGCTGCAACTTGGGGAAGTTCCTCCAGGGAAGGGAAATGAATTATTTGGCCACGCATTTGAAGGATCTGGTTGGCCACCCTGTGGATCACATCGTGGACTGTGGACTGGGGCATGTCAAATGCCCTGGCGACAACACGGTACGCGGTGCCACTGGCCAACCAAAAGAGGAAGACCAAAACCTCCATGTCCTGACTCCAGCCCTGGTGATGAGCACTCCTCAGGTGGCTAACCAGACGGGTGATGGTGGTTCGAGTGAGGCGAAAATCGGGGCGAAGGTCAGACTGGCCATTTAAGTACATGCTGACTAGGGGTACATGGTGGTTCAGTCGGCAGTACACCGGTGGTTCACCCTAAAACAAAACAAAAATTCTCTTAAACTTAATATGATTAAGATAACTCTCCTTCAAGGCTTATATAAGCCAAGCAACTAAAACGGCGTACTTCCACTTACGGAACATCGCTAAAATTAGGAATTTCCTTCCTAAAAGTGACGCGGAAAAACTCATTCACGCGTTTGTCACCTCAAGGCTCGACTACTGTAACGCTTTACTGGCAGCGTGCCCTAAAGCCTCTTTGAAGAGCTTCCAGCTCGTTCAGAATACAGCAGCTAGGATCTTAACAGGTACTAAAAGGAGGGAGCACATAACTCCGGTGTTAAAATCACTCCACTGGCTCCCTGTGGAGTACAGAATAAAGTTTAAAATCCTACTCTTAACATATAAAGCCATAAATGGCTTGGCTCCTTCTTATCTCCAAGACACGTTAGTGTCGTATCAACCAAGTCGAGCGTTGCGCTCACAAAACGCCAGACGTCTGGTGGTCCCTAAGGTCTCAAAGGTCACTGTTGGTGGCAGAGCATTTAGCTACCAAGCTCCTTTACTGTGGAATCAGCTTCCCATTTATGTTAAGGAAGCAGATACGGTCTCCACATTCAAGGCCAGGCTTAAAGCACTTTACTTTAATTTAGCATATAATTAGGTAATATATAATATGTAGTGTATATATTATATATATATATGCTGTATTATGTTATATATTATGTTATATATTATTCAATAATGTATTGTGTTATGTTGTATATTATGTTATATATTATGCTGTATGTTATTCTTTATTCAAGGCTAGGTTTAAAACAGTCCTCTTTAGTTTAGCATATGGCTAGGAAGGTAAGACTCGGAGAAGGTTAAACTCCTCAGACTGTCAGTCAAGCTGCATAGGGCGCCCCCTGCTGGAGAAGTATGGTAACTTGAGCACTATCCTCTCCTCCTTCCTACTTTATCTGTTTAGCATTTTTAGGATTCTGACTGTAGTTTGTTCATTGCTATTCACCCGTTGTCCCATTGTCTGTTTCATGGTACGATGACGGGATCTCTGAGCCTGGCCTCTTCCATCTACACCTGCGGACTGCCCCGCCCGACCCGCCTGGGAGTGCTTCGGTCCTGCACCGGACCTGTCCACGTTCAGCGTCCACTGGTCCACGTTCTGTAGCTAGCTTAGGTCCTAGATCATTAGTCTGTCCGTCCGGAGGAGCGGATCCCTTTCTCATATGGGTCTCCCTCCCTGTGGGTTTCCCTAGTGCTCCCCAAGGTTTCTCACTTTTTCCCACTGGGTTTTTTAAGAGTTTTTCCTTGTCGATGCAGGAGGGTCTTGTTGGACAGTTAGTGTCCAACAGAAAGGATTGGTGATGATCAGGACACTTTAGCATTCTACAACATGTATGGACATTTTCTTCTGTGTGTGCTTTATATTATTCTTCATGTGTTTTAACTGTTGATTCTCTGACCTGTGTTGGTGATTTCAATGGTTTTGTTAAGTCCTCTGAGATGACTTCTGCTGTGACCTAGGGCTATACAAGAATAAATTGTATTGTATTGTATTGTATGATACTTCTAGATTCATTTTTTAATTCTGTATCTGCACTTTTAGTTATGAGTGCAGACACAGGAATAAGTACTCATTTTTCATTTTGAGATTTAAAAATGTAAATAAAAATGAAGAGTATATAGCTGAAGTCATGTTCTTTTGTGCCCTGGCATTGATTTTGCCAAATGTATTGTGTGTTGCAGGGAGCTGGAGCTGCCCTGAGACAACTGAAGTAGAAACCCTCACTACATCACTCGCACCTAATAACACACAAAAAAATCACAGAAGCCCTGTGCCCCATGGCCAAGCAAATTCTATTATTGTTTAATGATTAAGTACTCATTTTTCATTTAGAAAAAAATGAGTACTTAATCCATTTCCCTTGCTATGGTTTTGTGTTCTTTCAACCAATAAAATATTTTAATGTTCTTGCATTTTAAGTGAGTGTGTCTATACAATGTGTTTTCTTGTTGAAATATGTCTAAATGTATATGACTAATGTGTTTCTCATTGACTGAGAATAGTATTTTGAATTAGTAAGTACACCAAAAGTACTATAATTTACCCAGTAGATGGTGCTAATGCTATATAGACAAAGGACGAATACAATACTTACTCGACGCCCTGCTAATGAACGAAGAGCCATTCTCCTCCTCCGCCTCATCGCCTGTCTTCGCCTTCTCTCTGTTCGGCGGTTTTTAATTCGCATTATGAGAAGTTTTATAATTGTTAACAAAAACACAGCAAAATTCAGTGGAGGTGCCATTTCACCAGTGTTAGAGGAGCCGGTCAGGTGGCGAAAATATGAAAGACGTTAAGCGAATAAGTCAACCAAAATTCATAAATATGAATATAAATTGTAAAAACGTTTTATACATGTATATTAGACAAATATTGATATTTTAATATACTTTTATTTATATATAAAATTATATTGATCCAATGACGTGTGATGTGGGCCGCGGCTAAAAATAGTGTGCAGCTGTCCGAATCGCCAACAGAATGAGTGCACTGACTCACTCACTCAGTCGCTATATAGTCCCGAACTATATAGTGAGTGAGTGAATAGGGTATAGTGTGGACATTCGGATACAGCCTATGAATTTTCATGACCGACCACCGAGCCTCAGTAACCGGTTGAAACCGGTTAACCGCGTAGTTTAAAATAGTCCACGTTCTTTGAAATCATTTCGAGCCCCGTACTTTTCATAAGTGCAGCTGAGCGTTCTACTGGATCAGAGCCGAGACAGCGGCGCCCAAACCCGCAACAGCTCCGGCACCTTTGCGCACAGAGAACTGCTTTTTTAATCTTCCCATTCTGCTGTGCTGCGGGTTAATACCAAAACTTTCTAGCAGCAAACGACGGCTCGTTCACATGGTCAGAGCAGCGAGTGACGGCGTCTCACAGGTCTTCACAAAAGTTTAAATACAAGTGATGTGTGTGGAGCTGATCCCGAGGACCATAAACACAAACATGTTCCATGTGGTTTGACTGGAGCCGCGTATTTGTGCGAATCCTTTGGGCTCCGTGACACAGAGGAGCGCGACAGACCGGTATGTGTGTGTGTATGTGTGTGTGTGTGTGTGTGTGTGTGTGTGTGTGTGTGTGTGTGTGTGTATGTATGTGTGTATGTATGTGTGTGTGTGTGTGTGTATGTATGTGTGTATGTGTGTGTGTATGTGTGTGTATGTGTGTATGTATATATGTATATGTGTGTATGTATATGTGTGTGTGTGTGTGTGTGTGTGTGTGTGTGTGTGTGTGTGTGTGTGTGTGTGTGTGTGTGTGTGTGTGTGTGTGTGTGTGTGTGTGTGTGTGTGTGTGTGTGTGTGTGTGTGTGTGTGTGTGTGTGTGTGTATGTATGTGTGTATGTATGTGTGTGTGTGTGTGTGTATGTATGTGTGTATGTGTGTGTGTATGTGTGTGTATGTGTGTATGTATATATGTATATGTGTGTATGTATATGTGTGTGTGTGTGTGTATGTATGTGTGTATGTATATATGTGTGTGTGTGTAAATGTAAGCTCCAATGTAGTTCTGACCCGCGCCAGTGTGCAACTTTGACGGTAACAGAGGGGAAAGATGATGCGTGTGGATGTTACGTATGGAGTGAGTTTAGGCCCCGACTCCAGCGGGTGCGTAAAACGGACGACGGATCCGTCCAAACATGTCCGTTTCATCTCCGTCTCCGTTATCTCCATGATGGTGAATGGAAGTGGCTCCACTGCCTCCAACAACCGTCTGACTGACGCACGTCAGACGGATTCCGTTAACGGAGGGTGCAACGGACGCAGACGGACGAAATAGAAAAAAGTCCTATTTGTTCCGTCGACGCGTGTCGGGTCCGTTTTCCATTGAAAATGCAATGGAATAATATATTTACAACATTGTTAAACATGTATCTGCTGTAGTCCTTGGTTATAAGTATTTGTTAATGACAATGATTATTAACAAACGTGTGTCATTTTTTTCATGTATTCATTTAAATAATTGTTTCCTGATCGTAAATCTACCATTTATTTTTCGCGTAATGTTAATCTTTATATAAACCTCGCTCTTTTTTCTCTCGCTCTGTCTCGTCTTCCTCCGAGACGCTCTCTCCTCACTGCCACACACACACACACACACACAGACAGAGCTGCTGCTGCAGCCGGTTTGACCACTGGTCCGTTTTACGGACGTCTGACGGACAGCAGCCAACGCGCGTCAACGGAGACGCGCCCGGTGGAGTCCAGGCCTGAGTGTGAGTGTGCGTGTGTATGTGTGTGTGTGTATGTGTGTGTGGGTGTGTGTGTGTGCATATGTGGCTCGTGCGGCGTGAGAGTCGTCCCGGAGTTTATAATACATGGGCGCACACAGCTAGATACAGACCCGCTCGTCACACCGTGCAAATAGGGCTTAAAATAGCGTTATTAAGAGACCTCCCCTCTCCCCGTTTTCTCTTTTTTAACCGACAGCTTTGACCGGTTAACGCTGTGACGGTCAACCACCGGTTAAACGGTCGCCGATTTACATCCCTAGGGTCTACAGCCTCAGTCCTGGGTCTACAGCCTCAGTCCTGGGTCTACAGCCTCAGTCCTGGGTCTACAGCCTCAGTCCTGGGTCTACAGCCTCAGTCCTGGGTCTACAGCCTCAGTCCTGGATCTACAGCCTCAGTCCTGGGTCTACAGCCTCAGTCCTGGGTCTACAGTCTCAGTCCTGGGTCTACAGCCTCAGTCCTGGGTCTACAGCCTCAGTCCTGGGTCTACAGCCTCAGTCCTGGGTCTACAGCCTCAGTCCTGGGTCTACAGCCTCAGTCCTGGGTCTACAGCCTCAGTCCTGGGTCTAAAGCCTCAGTCCTGGGTCTACAGCCTCAGTCCTGGGTCTACAGCCTCAGTCCTGGGTCTACAGCCTCAGTACTGGGTCTACAGCCTCAGTCCTGGGTCTACAGCCTCAGTCCTGGGTCTACAGCCTCAGTCCTGGGTCTACAGCCTCAGTCCTGGGTCTACAGCCTCAGACTCACGTCGATGAGGTTCTTGGCCTGGAACACGTCGGAGATCTCGTACCCCAGCAGGTCTTCCTTGGTGCGTCCCAGGCCCTGCACGTTCACATGCTGCACCACGACCTGTGTGCAGGAAAAACATGTCACAACCTGGCGCCCCAGGATCACGGGAGCATCGTAACCGTGGCAACATGCAGCGTTACGTCTTTGTTCTCCAGGATCTCCTGCTTGGACTCGTGCTCGGGCTCCGGAGGCTCCATCAGCTCGTCAGGGCTCATCCCCAGCTCTCTGCCGTGCATGGGCAGAGGGTCCAAGCTCTGAGGACAGAAACCCACACTTAAACATGGAGGTCAATAGGAGCCAAACTTCACCATGAGCACTTCCCCACTTCATTGACCTAGCGGGTTAGCATTGCCAATCTGTGTAGTTTGTGCCATTTACTTCAGCCCCATTTCCATCAGCCCTAACCAACCCGTTTCTGGTACCGTATCCTAGCAACCGACCCACAACCATTCAGCATCCAGGGAAATTCCCTGGTAGCCATGGCTCCCAGCAGCACTCTGGCCAATAGCTGTCAGTTAGAACACTTTAGTATCAGCTCGGCCTGGATTGAACCAGGACCAAGAGGGTCTAAAGAAGGACCTGGTACTGGTCACACAGGACTATGAAGGACCTGGTACTGGTCACACAGGACTATGAAGGACCTGGTACTGGTCACACAGGACTATGAAGGACCATGAAGGACCTGGTGCTGGTCACACAGGACCATGAAGGACCATGAAGGACCTGGTGCTGGTCACACAGGACCATGAAGGACCATGAAGGACCTGGTGCTGGTCACACAGGACCATGAAGGACCATGAAGGATATATTTAATATTTAATAACAGTTGCCACGTCCCCTTCAACACAGAAGACTACAGCTCAATAAAACACATTAAAATACATCAAAGCACTGCTCCATAACTATTATAATGCCATGTGCTGTGGCTGCAGAGAGGAGACAGGGTTATTCACTAAACTCTACATATTTATCATAATGTTTGGTATAAATGATGGTCCAGTGAGAGAGGACCCAGGGCAGAGGACTGAGGCCCAGGCTGAGGACCGAGGACCGAGGACCAGGGAGACCTGTGTCCGGAACATCGCGTCCAGAGGCGGCGGTCACTGCTCTGTGTCGGGCACGTTTCTGTCGGAGGTCACGGCACAAAGAGCCCGGAACCCGCTTCCAGACCCCGGGGAAACGCGGTGTTACCTTGGCGTGGACTGTTCCCATCGTGCCCTCCGCTCCTCACGCCTCCTGTGGCCGCCTGCAGAGCTCTGAAACCCGGGGAGGGAGGAAGAGAAGCACTGCTGTCGTCTGCACGGAGCTCTCAGTGCGCCGCCATGACGGTGCGTTCAGGGCGCAGCGGAACTCCCAGAGCAGTCCGTTTGACGGGTTGGAGTCTTGGAGTGAACCTCTTTGAGTGACCTTTTCTGTTTCCGTTCATAATTTACATCTGTCTCAGTATTTTATTTACGAAATAGGAAATGGAATGTCAACTTTAACACTAGAACTCCCAGAGCAGTCCATTTGACGGGTTTGTGTATTTATGTATTATGTTATGTCCCAGTGCCACTCGTTTCCATAGCAACATGATGTTTACTGCTACGTTAGCATGGTAGCCTTCATCAAACGGCTTTTATGAACTGATTTATTATTTTCTCCAGTTTCAGCACTGAGTAAAAACAAAGAGTTCAATCTTTATAAATGACTTTAATGCAGATGTTGTTTTGAATTAGAGCAGTCAAAATGGCGGCTCTGGGAGTTCTAGTGTTGATGTTTTGAACACTTTAAAGTGATAGTCTGGAACTCTAAATGAATTACAAATTTTAAGAATTGTATTAAATTGACCTCCTGGCCTTAAATGTTGATATAAATTAAGTCATTTTATTAATTCTAATATTACAGTTAAGTCCCGCCTTCCCTTCTCTTAGCTATAGCTCAGAATCCACGGTGCCATCCAATTGACCAATCGAGTCATGCCATGGGCTGTCAATCATCGCACTGATGCTCGTAGCTCCGCGCATGTTCAGTTGTTTGTTTTCGCGGAGCCTCCGAATCAAGCCTCTATGGGCTGTATGCACGTAGCCTGGTCTTACCACACCATAGTACAAATTTCATTTCATACTAAGGTCTGGATTTGCTCCATTGAGCTCCGTTAACAGGTGGGAGGGGCTAACTCCTTTTGCAGATTGAAACGATTGGATCTGAGTTTACCGTGACGTATGTAGTGCGCCCGAGTGTGTTGTTAGCATTTAGCATTTAGCCTAGCCATCTCCTTTGCCGCTATTGGAGCCTGAATTCTATTAATCTCTATTAATAGCATACGTGCTCAGAAACGAAAGTGACACTAACATGCAAAAACGAAACCTAACACTAGGGGCGCACTTCTCGGCTTGGCTTTCCTACAGAGCCCGTGGGGAGTAGCGCCACAATCTTGTCCAGCGATTACATTTGCTAAACATTCCTCTTGCTCCTGCTTCAGTTTCTTGATAGAACCAGAGCAGAATACTTTACTATCACATTCTTCGCCAAACTACAACCTGCCCGTTCGGCGCAAACTCTTGACGTCACCGGCACCGACCTACAACACCCGCCTTCCGCGCTCTCTGAGTAGTCGGTCAAAATACGTCTGATTGTATTCGCTAACACAGGGACCAGACCCAGACGTTACATGCAGTGAAGTGATGACTGAGCGCAGTGTACGGATGGCTACGGCACGGGTAATATGCACGGGGAGGCGTGACGTTTTTTCATGTTAACAAAATACAGCCCGTTCACTTCCTGTCTATGCTGTCCTATGGCTTTTAGGTGGGTTTTAGTGACGTCTTTTAGTAATTAGATTGATACATTCAGCTGAGACTGACCCAAAAGTGTCGCTGTGCTTTCTCTCTGAGGTAGAGCTGTGACTGTGGCCACTCAGAGACATGTTTAAACTTTATAAAAACACAATGACAGCACAAAGAGCACTGCTGTGTCCCAAAAATGCCCAGTATCCTACAGTTTAATTCCCGTTTGAGCATTATTTGGGAAACTCGTGTGAACCACTGAACTCCAGTGAAACTCAAGCCGTTCCCACGAACAGGAAGTGAAGTGGGGCTTTAGCTAAAACACGGAAGTGGTGCATAGAGCCCATAGAGCTCGTTATTATAATAGATCCATGATTAGGCTCTGGAACTTCATTTATATATGAACCTATATCCATAATCATTTATATATGAATCTATAACCATAATCATTTACATATGGATATATAAAGCCCATCATGAAGTTAATCCCTATCTGATTCACTGGTATGCATCTTTCCTCATCAACAGAGTCCAGCTGGTCAAAGTAAATGATACACTCTCCTCTGCCATCACAACCTCTGTTGGAGCCCCCCAGGGCTGTGTAAGCTCAGCTCTGTTGTTCACCATATACACCGACGATTGTCGAACTACTTCAAACTATCAACACATCTTCAAATATTCGGATGACACGGTCCTGGTGACCCTTCTGTCAAATACTGACAGTCCTGGGCTGCACCAGCGGGGCATAGACAAGGTTGTGATTTGGAGCAAAAAAAACGCTCTGGAAATAAACACCAAAAAAACAGAGGAGGTGGTATTTAGTTTAAACCCAGTAACCACAGCTCCCACTATCATCAACAACGAGCCAATCAAACAGGTGGAGTCATTCAAATATCTGGGTGTGGTCTTAGACTGTTCCTTGTCTTGGAAACACCACATTGACGTCATCTGTAAAAAGACTAAACAAAGAATATATTTCCTCCGTCGCCTGCGGTCTTTTGGAGCGTCTCGTCAGGTGTTGCTTCTGTTCTTCACTTCTGTGATTCTCAGTGTCCTGCAGTACTGTAACGCTGTGTGGTACAGCTGTCTCTCTGTCACTGCTAAATCTGGACTGAGACACTTGATTAAAATCTGCTCAAAGATTGTAGGACAGCCCCTGGATGGACTGTACGAGGCTGCATACCATAGCAACACACTGGGACTGGCTAAGAACATCACTTCAGACCCCGGCCATGTTCTGAACCTCGAATATGCGCTGTTACCATCAGGGCGGCGGTACTGTGTGCCACATTTTAATAAAGTCAGGTTGAGGAACTCCTTTGTCCATCAGTCCATCCTGAAGCTAAACGAGGATCTTAAGTCATAAAATCAAAGTGTGTTATGGCGAGCGGACAATTGTTTATAATGTCTTTGTGAATTGTCTTATACCTGTATGTCTTGTTTGTATTTTTACGGAGCTGCTGAACTGCAAAACAAATTTCGGATCCTTGTATCTGACAATAAAGCATTTATCTATCTATCTATATATGAACCTATATCCATAATCATTTATATATGAACCTATATCCATAATCATTTATATATGAACCTATATCCATAATCATTTATATATGAACCTATATCCATAATCATTTATATATGAACCTATATCCATAATCATTTATATATGAACCTATATCCATAATCATTTATATATGAATCTATATCCACAATCATTTATATATGAACCTATATCCATAATCATTTATATATGAATCTATATCCACAATCATTTATATATGAACCTATATCCATAATCAGATCGTCTGCAGATGTGTCCTATAATGTGCAATTAATGAAAATAGCTTGTTCCGTGTTTGCCGCGATCGTTTTTTTGTCCATTAAAACATTATTTTTTAAATTATATCATAATTAATCAATTACATTATAAATAATTCTGAAAACCTCTGTGCATGTGTATTAATAATGTTTATGTATAATGTGTTCTTCATTAACATTTAAAAGTGTTGCGGAAACGTAGGTGTAGACCAATCAGAAAGGAAGGGGGAGGAGCTTGGGTCGTTTTTTTCAAATCAAGTACCTCTCTCTCTTTCTGACAAACTGCAGATATCACTTTAAAGAATAAATCTCGAACAAAATGACGGATGTAAATGATCCTTTGGCTAAAATCTGCATGTTTACATCATGTTTAATGTCCATGGACACGCACTGTCACATTCAAATCAATCAATCAATAAATAAGAACACATTTCTTCTGAATCGTTTTTTTGAGCGATGACGTCACACTGACCTGACCTCAGACCTATGAGCAGGACCTCAGACCTCTGTCCTCAGACCTCTGTCCTCAGACCTCTGTCCTCAGACCTCTGTCCTCAGACCCAGAAAATATCCACTCAGAAAAAGCGAGAAACCTCAGAAAGAGCTTCAAAGGTTTCTCACTGATGATGGAATAACAGAGTGTCAGTGAACGCTCCATGTTTGACAGTGACGCAGAGCCCCCAGCAGAGGGAGACATCTGTCTTCATTATAACACACATACACGCACACGTACATACACAAATACACACACACATATACACGCGTACATACACACATACATACATACACGCACACACATACATACACGCACACGTACATACACATATACACACACACACATACATACACATATACACACGTACATACACATATACACACACACACATACACATATACACACGTACATACACATATACACACACACATACATACACATATACACACGTAAATACACATATACACACACATATACACACGTACATAAACATATACGCACACACATACACACGTACACACACACATACATACACATATACACACGTACATACACATATACACACACACACATATACACACGTTCATACACATATACACACACAGACATACATACACGCACACGTACATACACACACACACAAAAGTCAGATCCCGTCAGACCCCTGAAGCTAAGCAGGGCGGGCCTGGTTGATGGGAGACCTCTGGGAACAGCAGGTGCCACAGTGGGGCGGCTGTGGCTGTAAAGTGTCAAACTGTGGTTGTGTCCTTAGGCAAGACACTTCCCCCACATTAGAATGAGTCTGGTGTGTGTGTGAATGGTTGGTGGTGGTGGGAGGGGCCGATGGCACAGACTGGTTGCCTCGCTTCTGTCAGTGTGCCCCAGGGCAGCTGTGGCTACAGTAGTAGTTTATCACCACCGTGTTTGCGGAGAGCCCCTCCAGGTCACAGGGCTGTGTCAGTATCTGCCTCTTTGGGCTGATCCCTGTGAGTCAGTATCTGGCTCTTTGAGCTGATCCCTGTGAGTCAGTATCTGCCTCTTTGGGCTGATCCCTGTGAGTCAGTATCTGCCTCTTTGGAGAGTATTGCGTTAGAATCTCGGTACCCCAGCTTTAATGACCCCCACCCCCC